ATATATATATATATATATATATATATATATATATATATATATATATATATATATATATATATATATATATATATATATATATATATATATATATATATATATATATATATATATATATATATATATATAGAGTTCTAAGCAAGCTGTAGTCTTGTACTTATATGGGATACTCGTGCTGTGCAACATAACCCTTCGCTCCATCGGTTTTACTATCATTTACAAGTGTTCTAAGCAAGCTGCTGCCCTGTACCTACATAGGATACGTGTGCTATTCAGCATAACCTCTACTGGTGCCATTTTTGGTATTGTGAGAATTCACTTCACAAAAGGAAGTGTGTACTCTGAACGCACACGGTGTATATACAACAAAGCGAAACTGACGGACATCCCAATTATTGACAGACGATACGAATATAAGAATTGATTTCGAGCTCCCAAGCAGTGAACAGCTTTTGAAACTCGCGGAGAAGGACACCACAGTGGAGATACAAAGGATTAGCCGGGTGGAATGTATAGATGTCAACTAGAAGAAACCAGCTCTGGGAACAATGGGGACCAAACTAGTCACAGCGGACGGCAGGGTAGGCGCGAACAACCCTCCCTACCGAAGTCTAACTGTGCGCCTGCACTTGGCAACGAGCCACACCCGCCGGCGGTACGAGAAGCCGCCTCAGAGGAGGGCATGGATGACCCTGACCTGCCCCCGAATTGCATACGGGTGAGTGATAGAATCATGCGGCTGAAGAAAGAAACTGCATCCATCATGCGCAGTTTGAGGAGTACCACACAGCTGGATACACAAGCCTCGGCTTCGTCGGCTTCAGTGAGCACGTCAACTAAGGAGCTGCCGAGTGCGCCTGCTACACGTGCTCCCGGTAAACTACACTCCTTTAGCTCACACACATCTACAGGTTTGAATTCAAAAAATTGCGAGAAGAATCCTGTACTTAGGAGTATCCTGCGCAGTCAAGCATGTCCTCACTCGCAAGTATACTCATCACCTCGTAGGTTGTGAGTTAGTCTGCGAATAGCGTAGCTCCGTGTACTGGAGAGCCTTGGATGTCCTGCAGTGAAACATACGTTAATCAGAAAAGCAACTTCTGAATCAAAGAGATGCGAATTACATTCTCGATCGCCATTTTTAGAAATAGCACTGTACAGCATACAGTAGAAGTAGGCCACTAGAATTTGCCGACGATACATAGAGGCAACCATTTTTTTGTAGTGTTTGCTGAAGAGTTCCAGGTCTGCAGCGGCTGTTACAAAAATGCGAGCATAAATCAGGTGGTGTGTGGAAAACCTACGTACGTTCAAGCACCTGCGTCACTCAATGTGTACCGGGCCGTGGGGAAAGCCACTCTTAAGAATGCATTCTTCAACATGTTTGCAACACACTGGAGACAACGGTCTTCGGTCGAGTGGGTCAGGTGCTCAGACGTAACTATTGCAGGCGTAAGTTCATCTAACATAGACACGCACACAAACCATTGGATTCCCGCGTCAAGAGATTCTCGATTTGAATTTATTCGCGTCTGTGAATGTTATGTTAGTGAATATATCATTAATTAAATAGACTTGTGAGCAAGACAATGGTCGATCCCGGGAAATGAATCGCGCAATTCGCAAAGCGAGATATACGCTTTTTCTTTGTGAGAAATAACCTCAACTTTTCTGCGAATATTCAGGTGTCGCACGAATCGAGAAAAATAAATAGAAACTAGTTTGTAATATCAAACCATCAACACCCTCGACGATGCCGCGCACGTTATTGTCCTGCCTATGCTATGCTGCTACCTGTATAGCAATTCTGCCTTTTCAGATTGCTACTGTGTCTATTTATTCCCTACTTCATTGAATATATTTTCACTCCAAATGGAGTCATCTTTACTGTATTGGTTGTCCGTCATTCAGTGCAAAATGATCGTTATCAAGTTTCTTACCAAATAACATGCTATCCTGCTGTTGCATATTAAAAACTAGCCACTCAATTAAAAACACACCATTCAAGAAGATGAATTGATTTGCAAACGAAGTTGTTGTGAAAACTCAAATACAACAGTAACTAATTATAATGAAAGAACAATAATAACGTCAAATCTACTGAAGAACAAGATAAACTTTTACAACGATTAATATATTCACAGTTATCACATGTTCAATGAGACGTTTATCTAGTGTCCAAGGAATCCAGTCCTTTCTGTTTGTATACCGCTGTCAGGTATACTTAATGTACAAAGTGTCTATATGTTTTGTCGTGGAACGCAGTGCAGTATGTAGCCTCTCCTTAGAAGCCCATGCCACCCATGCCACCTCCCATTGGAGGCATGCCAGCGCCACCCTCCTTCGGGATGTCTACAACCATAGCCTCAGTGGTGATCAGCAGAGATGCAACACCAGCGGCATCTACAAGAGCAGTACGCACAACCTTGGTGGGATCAATAATTCCAGCCTTTACAACATCGCAGTACTCTCCGGTTCCGGCGTTGAATCCGTAGTTAGGGTTCTCGTTGCTAAGGATATTTTGAACGACAACTGAACCTTCTTCGCCGGCGTTGTTGCAGATCTGCTTGCAGGGGGCCTTTAGGGCGAATCGCACAATGTCTACACCTTGTTGTTGGTCAAAGGTGTGGGTCTTGACGGTATCCAGCGCAGCGATGGAGCGGATAAGCGCAGCACCTGCAGATCGAAAAATTCTGGCAAGTCAATATCCCGATTTTTTTCTGGCACACAGTAATTAGTGGTACTTCATGCCAATAATCTAGATGACTTGTGACGAATACAATACAAACGTATGAAAGGTGAGGATATCCACTATGTGCTCGCGATCTCATTGAGTGAATCTATTGGTCTGAACGAGTGTCCCAAGAAACTCCCCCTATGCTGAACTAAAAAAATGGACTTATAAAAATAATTCACTTCATGCAATAAAAAAAACCCCGGGAAGGCCGATACAAATATGCAACGTAGCATTTCCCAAATTTTAGAAAACGCATGACACATACCTCCACCTGGAACGATACCCTCCTCTACGGCAGCACGGGTGGCGTTGAGCGCATCGGTAACACGGTCCTTCTTCTCTCCAACCTCAATCTCAGATACACCTCCGACCTTGATGACAGCAACTCCACCGGAAAGCTTGGCTAGACGTTCTTGCAGCTTCTCCTTCTCGTACTCAGAAGAAGTGCCCTCGATCATAGTACGAATCTCACCACAGCGGTCCTCGATAGCGCTCTTCTCACCGGCTCCCTCCATGAACAGGGTGTCGTCCTTGGTGATGACAGCCTCGCGTACGGTACCTAGCTGCTCGGCAACAACATCCTCAAGCTTCAGGCCAAGATCTTCGTCACCAACAACAATACCACCAGTCATCACCGCCATATCGTGCAGAGTGTTCTTTCGGTTATCTCCAAATCCGGGGGCCTTGACAGCGCAGATATTCAACTGACCGCGCAGCTTGTTCACTACAATGGTAGATAGAGCCTCGCCATCAACATCCTCAGCGACGATAATTAGCGGACGGCGCTCTCCGATGGCAATTTCCAGAGGCTTGACAATCTGGTGAATGGAGGAGATCTTCTTGCTCGTTAGAAGAATCAAGGGGTTCTGGAACTCAACTCGGCTTGCCTTGGGATTTGTGATGAAGAATGGTGAGATGAAGCCACGGTCGAACTTCATACCCTCGGCCACCTCAAGCTCATCCTCCATGGTCTTACCGTCCTTGACAGTGATGACGCCGTCCTATGGTGGTATATCGGTACGTAAGTATATGATCATAATATCGAACAAAATGATATGGGAATAATACCCTCGCTTTCGACCCTGAAAAAAATTTCAAATTCAAAAGAAATCCCTGCATTTCGACGAATATACTACACCAGCTGACGAAAACGTACAATATCAACAGCATGTCTATATTTCGCATAACTAATGGCTCAACGAAGTCGTTGTTACTCACCTTGCCGACGATCTCCATGGCTTTGGCGATAAGCTGACCAACGTCTTCATCGCCATTGGCAGAGATAGTGGCAACCTGCTTAATCTCTTCTGTTGTGGTAACAGGCTTGGACATTGCCTTGAGGTTCTTCACCACGGCATCGACAGCAGATAAGATGCCTCTTCGCAAGTCGAGTGGGTTCAAGCCAGCCGAAGCTTTGTTGAAGCCCTCTACGGCAATGGCGCGAGCAAGCACAGTGGCGGTGGTGGTACCGTCACCAGCGATATCGTTGGTCTTGTTGGCAACGTCCTGTATTAGGCGCGCACCCATGTTCTCAAACCTACCGTAGAGAAACGATACGGGAAAATTGTTTAGCAGGCGGCAGTAGGCAATGAATCATGATTGCTCACACAGACAATGTCGAATTGCTTCTAGATCAAAAAGGTAAAAAGCTCTGTATGTATGTATATATATAGCCACCTACAATTACGTATCTTTATACTGCAGTAAAAGACATGCTCATTGCCAGCTCGAGTACAATAATAACAACCAGCGAGCTTACAAAAAAAGGACTTACTTATCCTCGAGTTCGATGGATTTAGCAACGGTGACACCATCCTTGGTGATTTTGGGTCCGCCGAAAGACTGCTCAATGATGACATTGCGACCCTTGGGCCCCATGGTGACGGCTACACAATCGGCCAGTTTGTTTGCCCCCGCAATCATTTGCGCGCGAGCATCTGCCGCAAATTTAATTTCCTACAGCGAAAGACGCAGAAGTTTGTCAAAAATACAACTACAGACAGCAAAGGTGGAATGTTGTGGCATTTGGCTTTAATTTGTAACATGCAACCCTCAAAGGTACCGTTTTGTGCGAGTCATTGTGATGCCCAATCTCGGTATGAATGTGATCCAGTACCTTCCCATCCCGAGTCAAACCAGTGAACAACATCGATCAAGCGTGCTCCTACCCCCCAGAGTACCTTATGCCATGCATTCACAATCTTTGATTAGATCGTACAAATTCCAACGAGTCAAGGTATAACAAGTAATGTCGTATGCAGCAACATATATTGCCTGGCTTTTGGACCCGACTTTAAGAACGAAGTTCTACAATGAGCCAAGCATTTTAAAAATAAATAAGCTTGTGACCTTTTCACACTATACTACTTACAAGAACTAGTGGAAGCAGCCGAAGGAACAACGCTTATTTCATTGCATATGGTCAGACTATCAGTTGGTTCAAATATAAGCATCGTTTTCGAGCTCGTCATAATATTGTGATGTGCTTCAATAGGTTTATTCTAGATATTTAGAAGTGTCCAGCACTTTTACAGAGTGCTGAGTCACGCCATCATCCAATCGATTGTATGCATACAGCCACCACAGTAGCATTCAATGGCGAATACGCATTGCAGATGTGCAAGGAAATGTACTTCAGGAATGGAATACTAGTGATGAAGTAATAGCAAAACAAAACAATCATATCCCCTAGCTGAGACACTGTAAGACACTTACTTTGGCATAGTGGCGCACGGCTAGTCGAGCCACACCACCGGTGGCAGCGGTACGGGACGCAGAAAGCATGTTATATATGTATATAACTAGACGTATGTATGTAACAACAGAATAGTGACACTGGCTGTGCCCATATCTTGCATAGAGCATTTGTTTATTTATTTCGGTGGTAATTTTTTAATCTTCAGAAAAATAGCGTGGTGGCTGCCTCTCAGACTTCAGTCTCAGACTCGTAGTCAGTGCCTGATGACTCGTACTCTCAGCGCCTGCTGAATCGTTGAGTGGGGACTGGGGACTGGTCACTGGGGACTCCGCCGGGCGGCCGGGAAGTGCTGGCCTGGGCCTGGCAAGACGCAGCCTCCTCAACTAGTACAGAGCCTCAGAGTCAGAGGCTATGTAGCACAACTGGCCTCTCTACATATTTACTACTAGTCTCTGGGTCCAAAGCCAAAAAGTTACAATTTCGTAGACATCACGTGGAAAGAAGTTCGGTCGTAAAAAATATTCCCGAATTTTATTTGTACCAATTTCCGCCGAAAGTCAAATGAATATAGAGTAGTAGGGTGAAGGCCAAGAGTGTAGACTGTAGAACGCTCTGTTTGTTTGTTTACATAATAGCGACGCGCAAAGCCACTTTGACAGGACAGTATTCACGTTGCTCAAACACACTTAATCAGAAATAATGGTATGTTTGTGCTGTGGTGATTAATATGCGAGCGAACTTGTTCTCCTGCAGCCTTTCGAGTTGGATATACAAATCTGTTCTCTGTGTGTATTACATACGCCCAGTATATTGGCCTGTCCGTATCTGTGCACTATTGAACATCTTAATCAGAATTTGTATTGTTGACATCACAACTATACTCGATAGAGAGCGAGCGAATTTTATATATTTATGCTTCAGGTAGTTCAACTCTATTGTCTGACTTTCAAACAAAAGTTGCAAGTATTTATAGTTGTCGTTCTGTGCTTCTGTTTTACTAATATTTTGAGTACAACGAGGAAGTATCCATTGTTGAAGCTGTATAGGTAATTTGGAACAAATTCAAGTGTTGTTTCGAATGTCACGCTAGTATCAGCTATCAATTATCGAAACGTGATGGTCTGCGTGGAATTCGACCTGGTCATTCAAATCATACATTGTTTCTGAAACTTCTGTACAGTTGTGAGAAGCTCAGATGTATATCATACTATACATATTATTCGAATTCACGTCTCCGTTAAAATAATTATCCTGTTACCCGTTCTTGGGAGTTGTTAGTCACAGCTCAGTATGTCTTCTGTGTTTCATATCCATTGAAAATATAAAGCTTGGTTCGATTGCATTAAGGGCCGAGCTAAACCAGTATGGACAATATTAATTCTGCTGGTCCTCATGTATTATATATATTTTGTACTATTTGCCGCAACATTTGCGGACTCTCTTGTGTGTTTCCGTGTCTTGAATAACTTGCTTGCCTAATGTGCCTGATGTACGCGTTGAGAAATACACATGATTGTGCGTACACATCACTGTATCTACTCTATATAGATCATATATTATCTCAATATGGTTCGATAAATTATCTGGTTTATGTCTTCCGGGTTAACGAGTGTGCCTAGACCACTGCACACTTCCACTATGTGCAAAAAAAATGATATCACTATCTACAAAAAGTTTGACATCCACTCACTATTGCTTATCACCGACAATTTACCATTTTACCTCCTTTTGATGTGGAACAGTCTGCTGTTACAAAGTTCCGTCCTCTATTCGATCGCGTGCTAGTACAGCGCCTGGTCGCAGAGACTCGTACGGCTGGTGGAGTTATTCTTCCTGAAGCTGCACAGTCAAAGGTCAACGAGGGTACAATTGTTGCTGTTGGTCCCGGTGCCGCGGCATCGAACGGCTCGATTGTCACGCCCGTAGTGAACGTGGGAGAGAAGGTTGTTCTTCCTGAGTATGGTGGAACTCCCCTAAAGCTTGGTGGAGAGGTATGTAGCAGCATAGTGTTTTGTTGATACTAAAAATTTGGCGTGCTGTGTTGAAATCGTTTCTTCTAATCAGTTACTCGTGCATGTTATTGCATCGACAATATCATAGCGAGCACACTGCGCGTATAGCCACTTGACTGTGATTGGACAAAATGCATCGCGTACCAGTGGCAATTGGATAAAGTAGCGTTGTGATTCTAACATTATTCAAAGATGCATATACAATGTAAAATTCAATATACGACTGTGAATCTCAGTTAGATGTGAGGGAGATGTCTTACTATTTTATTCTATAACCTTACCACACCAAGACAACACTTAACTTACAATTTGTCACCACATTTTCCATCCAGGAATACACACTCTACCGTGAGGCTGAGATCGTAGGTGTACTTGACGCCTAAACGCTCGAATTAAGGCGCCGGGAACTGACAATAATGTCCGAGATAAAACCCATCTATGTGGCATAAAGTCGGACGCGAAGACTTGCGCGATGGTGGAGCTTGCTGTATGCAAACGTGGAGATGTAGATATGTTGAGCCTGTGGCTTAAATGTACATAGAACAGCTTAAATAAAATAAAATATACTATAATTGATCTAAAAATATATATGCTGTTCGTTGAACATACCATGAAGCTCCGTAATGATATCTATCCATTAGTAGCGAACTTTGGCCAATACATGTACATCCACCCTCTTGATGAGACAGCTAGCATCGCGCGGTGAAGGTGAACGCCAAATTGAACTTCAAGCTAGTAACATAGAACAGCAGACAAGTCAAATCTTGGCAGCAAGTGTTATACATTCAATGTTACAGTTTGGATATATTAATACCTTTATGTCCTATTTAAATGACCGGTTGTATTCAGCTGACCGGCAGTGCCCTCGTCAATTTCCACCGTTGCTATGGTGCACTATTCTGACTCTCCGCCTGCATATTCCTCAATACATTGTCCCGGTGGCGACGGTTCATCCTTAACCGCTTGAGAAGCTTCGTGATGGTTCTATTTTTGTACACTTCCGCGTATTCCATGGCGTCCTTGCACGGATACACAGTCTCCAGCGAACACAGGAACCTTACCATCTCTTCATCTGTGTGTCTAACGGCCCACTGGAGGCTGTATCCATTATCACTACCTGCGTCTATATCATATGCTCTCAGAGGAGCATTGGCAACGGTCGCGGTTACACTAGATTGACTAACGGTCGTCTTCTTCGGGCGTCGGTGTTTCCGTGTTGCAGATATACGCATTTCTTGTACCGGAGGTGTAGATGTAGATGATACAGTCTCTTGTGTGTGGAGTGCACTTTTACGAGGTGCCTGTCCCATCATTACGCGTGCGTGATCCAGCAGGCCAACCTTGCAGATACCTCCGAATAGAACATTTAAACAAGTGTAGGAACTGCTGACTTCATTATCTAAATCTGTATCCACTTTCAGCCGGCTGAGGTAATGCAGTGCCCGAGTGAAGACATCGAGAGGTGGCACGGTATCACGACTGCATCCTGGCAGTAAGGACGTAGCGTAGAAGCATGTCGTCAACCCACCATGTATTGTTCGATGTTGCCCTGTACATCGCCTATCACCGTGGCATAGTATATTGGCAACCACAAAGGGCTCCAAGTCGGCTTTAAACTGCTTACAGGTTAATGAAACGTGCAGGATGTCAGACCGTGAGAGTACCGAGAGTATCGACTGGCGAACATCGACGCACAGATCAAGAAATTGCATGGATGTTATTCGATTGGGATTGTGCAAATCTTAGCCTGTGTATAACTGTGCCACAGCTTCACATATATTATTTGAGTGTATTTGAGTGTATCTATCTATACTGTACACAGTGTACATTATGTACAGTATGTAAACGACTCTTTTTTATTTCGGTTTCATAGCCTTCTTCTGAATCATACACCTATGGTTTGTTTGATTTTTTTAAATAAAAACAATTAAAAAAAACCCTTTCAAAAGCCGCAAAGCGAGACAAACGGGCGAGAAAACTTTTGACTGAATTTTTAAATCCGTTTCGCCCATAGCACTAAAAATAATAAAACATCGCCAATAGCCATAGGAGGCCGGCTATGTTTTTTAGCGGGCTTTGTAAAGCAGCGATGAAGGCAGGAAGGTTTGGCCAAACAGTTTCAAGTTGTAAAAAACAGTAGTGTCGGATGCATAACACTAGCTAGACTCCATTACAGAGTCGCTCACAGGTCTCTTGCTTAGAACCGTATGAACATGTCACATCACACAGCTCTAGATGAGCAAGACGATATGCAGAGGAACACTACTACTGCCAAAAATAAGACACAAACTATCCTGGAAGACAGGACTAGCACATTTTCGAGTATGGGGCGCTATACTCAGAGAGGCGATCACACGGCAGAGAATAACAGCATGAATGCATATCCCGACAGGCCTTCAGTTCAAGGGAGTACCTCATCTTATACGTCAGATACTAGAGCTCAGAATATAGACAGATATGCACTGAATGAAGCGCCTGCCACACTCGGAAGTGGGCCTGGATACTCTAGTTCAATGAAAAAACGGCCGTGGGACGCATCTGAGCAGTTCAGTAGCACTGAGCAAGAGCCTTCAAAACGGGTAAAACTCTTGATAACACAGAGAAACGAGGTGGCGCCATTAGCGCAGAGAGATCTTAGCCAAGCGGATCAAGAATACCATGTAGTAGATGGTAGTAAGACGACTAGTAAAGTTATCTCTCTTGGTGAGAATTCAGTGCCAAACGAAGCTCGTAGCAATATAGTGTCAAATGAACCGAGTACGAATGTACCTCAGAACACCGACAGTATCAATGAGCACTCGCCAGGGTCCGGAGAGAGCTACAGAAGGTCACGGGACACACGCGATAACTCTTATGCCGCCAGCACGGATACACACACCAGCGTAGCGACGCCAGTTATTTACGTCGAAGGCGACGAGGATGAAAGTGATGACGAAATTGAGCGTATTAACGAAAAGACGTCTCATAAGAGTTATAGGCAAGCACATGCGATAACAAGGGGACTCTCAACTTACATTGATGCTGACTTGCACGCAGATTTTATTGATGAGGGAAATGCTGCATCTACGTCTGAGGAGGAAGAAGAAGTGGTGAAGGTCGCTACACCGCCTCCAACACCGCCTACACCACCAACTGTGATCAACTCCGCTAACATGACAATGAAAGAATATCTGGAAGCGGTCAGGGGCAGGTATGGTCATCTAAGTCTTATTCTGTGGTTTAGCGGTACTTTGTGACATTTTTCGATTACGTATAGATTCTATTGGGGGCATTTGGAATCATA